TCCATAAGAGAAATAGTTTACTAGCATACAGTCAAAAATGAGATTTTTGGGGGGCAATTTGTTGGTTGGAATTTCGACGCACATGAATGTTTGAAATCAATGAGTAGAGCTTAAAGAGATATTCTGAAAAAGAATATGTTGCTTTCGACAAAAAGGTTTTTGAAAACATAGTAGAAGAAGACACTTTGCATACATGAAATTTTGGTTTGGGACTTAGAAATATTTTTGGTCCATATTTGATTTCAACGAAGTTACTTGGAGTTGCATTCGGCGAGCATAATTCAAAATAAGACAAGAATTTTTTTTTTGGCCTTATCCATTTCATGAAGACACATGGAAAGTTGTAGATAGCAAAGTACATGTAATTGAAAACGTGGCGTCTTCTGGAGAAGAGACCATTTGATTACTGTTATTTTTGATTTAATATAAATAGGAGTCTTAGTAATTAAGATTCGTGTGTTCAAACTTGTACAAAAACTCAAATTTACTCAAAGTATCTGTGTGTGTTGAGAAACGAATTTCCTGAGTGCAATGTACGTGTGATCACCATATTTTTATACTTTTCACCAAATCATTTAAGATTTTGTCATTTACATTTGCTGTAAATTTACTTTGAAGTCATTTACATTTTCCGTAAATTTACTTTGAAGTCATTTACATTGCAATTTACATTTCTGCATTCTTTTATGAATTGTAAATTACTTTTAACAAATCAAAAGAACATTGTCAAAATGTTCATAAATAATAAAATTAGAAACAATTAAAAGCACATGTCCTATGATCAATCTAGTCGATTGTGCGAGTAACCAAAACTATAGAATTTGGAAGACTAGCGCTTGTTTACCAATTTCGGCGGTAAACACCCTTGTAATAATGAGTTAGGAATTTAGCGTGTTACACCAAGCCAGTCCTGCCGATTATGGCTTATGCTAAGAAATATCTTCATAGCTTTCTGTATGCGATCATTAAAGCAGTCATCACCTTTTTTTATCTTTTGATACCACGTCTCTTATTTAAATAGGGATTTTGAGATGAAAAAAATTGAGCTTTACTGGCTACTTAACTCTTTTACAAGGATATCACTAACTAACTCCTCATATTTGGCCAAATAAAGGTGCAAAAGTTCTCTCATCGTTGGTCGAGATAACATGAGTGGAGTGAACAAGGCAAGGCATCTTCAAGGACGTGAATGCTTGTTGACACTTAAGTGTCCATTTGAAATTTATTATTTCTTCAAACTTGTAAAAATGGATGATTTGGTGTGCTTACTTTTAAAATGAATATATTCATAATCGTCAGCATCTTGTTTAGCTTCAAGGTTTCCTTATTCATTGTAGGTGTCACCCTGAGGATGTTAGTCACGTACTTGTAAGGACTTGCTTATATGTCTCCTTTGGATAAAAATCCATAAACTTGTCGCCTCTTATTCTGTGTGTGCACTTTTCTAGATTAAGGGTCATATTATACTATCAGACTCTTTGAAAAACCCGAGCGATTTGTTGGTCTGCAACCCTTCTTTGATGGACTTGAAAATCATATAATACTTATAAAAATCCAATATTTCTCCTTTTTCTTCCTTGAAAACCTTATTCATTATCCTTTGATATGTTGCTCATGCTTTTTCAAACCAAAGAGAATTATGTTGTACTAATTGTTAGCTTGCTCAATCATTAAAATGGTCTTTCCTCTGCCTAACTCTACATTGGTATCTTATTGTAGCTAGAGTATGCATCTAATGAAGCTTGTATCCGGCTGAGTTACCAACCAACTTATCTATACTTGCGACCTAATATGAGTCATTAGGGCATGCTTTGTTCCAATCAATATAATCAACACACATTCCACATTTCCGTAAGGCTTTCTTGACGAACACTACATTAGATATCCAATTAGTATATTTTACCTTAGAAATGAAATTAGCATTCAATAGACCTTGGACTGTCTTCGTTGTTGCCTCTTCCTTCTCAAGAGACTATCACCTTCTCCTTTGTGACGTATATTGAGCATTGAGATCGATGTTCAACTAGTAACATGCCACCCTTGGATCTATTCCTGATATCTCGTGCGGAGAGATGGTGAAGAGATTGGTGTTGGCTCTCAAACATCTTACTAATCCTTTATTTCCTTCAGAAGATAGGTCAAATCCTATCCTTACTAACCTCATCATATTATCGTCTAACTAGATGATCTCAAGGTTTCTATCCATAACTAGTGTTAGGCCTTTCCCTTTGATCCCAGTTGAGAGTCCTAACTCATCTCTTAACAGGGTTTCTTCTTTTTGAAAGCTGAGATCAACTCCATTTTTCGCTCTGCTAGCTTCACCAGCTCTTCCTTCAAGGACGAAGATAGTTGCTAAGGAATTCTTCAGTATCACTTTCTGTGTTTGACAAACTCCACGAAGGGGTTACAATAGATCGATCATAATCATTGTGGTACGTAACTTTAGATATATGGAGAAACCACGTCGTTTAAGGTTGAAATTGTGAAATTGTGGATTGAAAATCATACATTTTTCTTCTTAAATTATAATATTTATATAGTGGGAAAAATTGAGTCTTTCTTATATTCTGAATCTTCAGAAAGCTTAATTTGCCAACATCAATTCAATTTTTTTATATTTATTTTAATTGAATTAAGAAACTTGAGATTTGTTGGGCTTTCAATTAGGGAACATTGAACATAGTGGGACTTTTTTTTTTCTAGAGCAACCTTTGTGAGAGACACACCACATACTCACCCAAAACCTTAAGGTGATAGGTGTATGGGTTCTCTCACTTATAAATGCTCAAGTCAACACATTTCTATCCAATGTGGGACTATTATCCACCCTACTCACACTTGTTAATACTTAAAACTCTCCCTCAAGTGTGAGTTTATCCCAATGCTCTCCCTTAAGCGGAAACTTTAACTGTGCAACTGCACCCTTGTACTGTGCAACTGCACCCTTGTACCGTTGTTGACATTCTTCAACGAGACACTCAACCCACGACCTATGGGGATACTTTCGATACAAGTAAGTCGTTCCCTTTATTCGAACCACTCTCCCTCAAGTGTGAGTCTATCCCAATGCTCTCCCTTAAGCGGAAACTTTAACTGTGCAACTGCACCCTTGTACTGTTCAACTGCACCCTTGTACCGTTGTTGACATTCTTCAACGAGACACTCAACCCACGACCTATGGGGATACTTTCGATACAAGTAAGTCGTTCCCTTTATTCGAACCAAAGGCTCATGATACCACTGTTGGACTTTCAACTAGGGAGCATTGAACATAGTGGGACTTTTTTTTCCTAGAGCAACCTTTGTGAGAGACACTCCACATACTCACCCAAAACCTTAAGGTGATAGGTGTATGGGTTCTCTCACTTATAAATGCTCAAGTCACCACATTTCTATCCAATGTGGGACTATTATCCACCCTACTCACACTTGTTAATACTTAACACTCTCCCTCAAGTGTGAGTCTATCCCAATGCTCTCCCTTAAGCGGAAACTTTAACTGTGCAACTGCACCCTTGTACTGTGCAACTGCACCCTTGTACCGTTGTTGACATTCTTCAACGAGACACTCAACCCACGACCTATGGGGATACTTTCGATACAAGTAAGTCGTTCCCTTTATTCGAACCACTCTCCCTCAAGTGTGAGTCTATCCCAATGCTCTCCCTTAAGCGGAAACTTTAACTGTGCAACTGCACCCTTGTACTGTGCAACTGCACCCTTGTACCGTTGTTGACATTCTTCAACGAGACACTCAACCCACGACCTATGGGGATACTTTCGATACAAGTAAGTCGTTCCCTTTATTCGAACCAAAGGCTCATGATACCACTGTTGGACTTTCAACTAGGGAGCATTGAACATAGTGGGACTTTTTTTTCCTAGAGCAACCTTTGTGAGAGACACTCCACATACTCACCCAAAACCTTAAGGTGATAGGTGTATGGGTTCTCTCACTTATAAATGCTCAAGTCACCACATTTCTATCCAATGTGGGACTATTATCCACCCTACTCACACTTGTTAATACTTAACACTCTCCCTCAAGTGTGAGTCTATCCCAATGCTCTCCCTTAAGCGGAAACTTTAACTGTGCAACTGCACCCTTGTACTGTGCAACTGCACCCTTGTACCGTTGTTGACATTCTTCAACGAGACACTCAACCCACGACCTATGGGGATACTTTCGATACAAGTAAGTTGTTCCCTTTATTCGAACCACTCTCCCTCAAGTGTGAGTCTATCCCAATGCTCTCCCTTAAGCGGAAACTTTAACTGTGCAACTGCACCCTTGTACTGTGCAACTGCACCCTTGTACCGTTGTTGACATTCTTCAACGAGACACTCAACCCACGACCTATGGGGATACTTTCAATACAAGTAAGTCGTTCCCTTTATTCGAACCAAAGGCTCATGATACCACTGTTGGACTTTCAACTAGGGAGCATTGAACATAGTGAGACTTTTTTTTCCTAGAGCAACCTTTGTGAGAGACACACCACATACTCACCCAAAACCTTAAGGTGATAGGTGTATGGGTTCTCTCACTTATAAATGCTCAAGTCACCACATTTCTATCCAATGTGGGACTATTATCCACCCTACTCACACTTGTTAATACTTAACAAGATTTACATGTTTTTATAATTATATGTTAAAAGAATCATTGAGTTGTTGATTTGTATAGTTGTGACACATAAAGTTGGTAGAGAGTGAATTATGTTCCATGATAAGAAATAAATGGTTCAGAAAAAAAAATATCAAAATTCATTGTGAAAGACTTAATTGAATCTTCCTCTTATACATCACTTTGAAAAGAGTTGTTTTGAGATTGATTAATTTAAATATTTATTATTAACAATTTTAATATAAACAAATATATACTTTTTAAAAAATATATAAAATTCAAAAATAAATTTTTAAAAAAAATATTTAAAATTTTACAGAATAGATATGTATCAAATCTTATCTTGTACAATCAAACAATATTCTGATGAATTATGGATGAATATTATTGTAACGCACATCCACATATGTCTTCAATTGATTCTGATGAATTATGGGACGGCGATCCGTGTATCAATATAGAATTCGATTACACGATTATTAGTGTTCAAAGTGATAAAATGTTTCCTTCTTCAAGTGAAACTAAATTTTATGGTCTTTATTATGTGACGAAAAATAAAGAAATCCTAAAAACTATTGTTATAAATTTGCTTTCTGAAATTGATGTTCCTGAAGTTGCTTTTACCATGGTGGAAAAAGAAATTTCACAATGTGTATGTGAGATGATTGATGGGGCATATAAGAACTCGAGGAATCTTTCTGTTCGAGTTGATTTTTCTGTTACATGAAATTTTAAAGAAGAGGAAATAAAGGTCGAAGAAGATGAAGTTAATACATTGGTTCATGCTGCTACAAGGACTATTGAAGATGGTCCCAATGAAAGTGGTTATCAAGACGACTGAGACTATTATTGGGCTCAGGAGATGGATATTGAAGTACAAGGAGATGATGCGTTAAGAAGGACAGTTGAAGATGTTAATGGAGATACACATAGCTATAATTGGGAAGAGAATATGGGAATCGTTAATGACATTGAAAGTGATGAAGATGAATGGGAATATGGTTGGGAAGAGGGAATTGAGATTGAAGAAGATATTAGATTTGTTCCTGCAGCTAAATCATGTATTGAGGAATTGAAGACAGTAACAACTAAAGAAACAGAAAAATGTAGTATTTATTTTGAAGATTTTAACGTTGGTGTCTGTATGTCATGTTCACATATGTTTCATATGGATTGTATTCAAGATTGGTTGAATATAGGCAACTCATGTCCTTTGTGTAGGTTTCAGTTGCCTCCTAATAAGAATTAAGTTACAGTTTATGATTACTTATCCAATGAACAAAAGCACATTAAGCAGATAGAATCTAGCAAGATATGTATAAGCCATCTTTTTGCATGTTGCAGAATGAGAGTAAATAGAACAGAAGATTATAACTTGTACACTTTCATTCCGCCCATATAACAATTACTACAAGCCTTAGGTAACACTCTTGACCGTGGTTTTAAAATGTCATTTACAAATTATTCACCGTTTTATACTGAGAATAAATTACAAACTAAAAGCCATTATAACCGCAACAAAACACTATTAAGGCCATAAAACACCGTTTTGGATGCAAAAATTTCAAAATCAAAGTATGAAATTATAAATCACAGAACTTATTTAATTTTATTTTAGTTATTATATTTTTATTATTTTTATTTTTGTTTAAATTAGTTTAACTTATTTTATTTGAACACTTATTTAATTTAGGTATTCTTAATTATTTGAATTTTATTTTAGTTATTATATTTTTATTATTTTTATTTTTGTTTAAATTAGTTTAACTTATTTTATTTGAACACTTATTTAATTTAGGTATTCTTAATTATTTGAATTTTATTTTAGTTATTATATTTTTATTATTTTTATTTTTGTTTAAATTAGTTTAACTTATTTTATTTGAACACTTATTTAATTTAGGTATTCTTAATTATTTGAATTTTATTTTAGTTATTATATTTTTATTATTTTTATTTTTGTTTAAATTAGTTTAACTTATTTTATTTGAACACTTATTTAATTTAGGTATTCTTAATTATTTGAATTTTATTTTAGTTATTATATTTTTATTATTTTTATTTTTGTTTAAATTAGTTTAACTTATTTTATTCGAACACTTATTTAATTTAAGTATTCTTAATTATTTGAATTTTATTTTAGTTATTATATTTTTATTATTTTTATTTTTGTTAAAATTAGTTTAACTTATTTTATTTGAACACTTATTTAATTTAGGTATTCTTAATTATTTGAATTTTATTTTAGTTATTATATTTTTATTATTTTTATTTTTGTTTAAATTAGTTTAACTTATTTTATTTGAACACTTATTTAATTTAGGTATTCTTAATTATTTGAATTTTATTTTAGTTATTATATTTTTATTATTTTTATTTTTGTTTAAATTAGTTTAACTTATTTTATTTGAACACTTATTTAATTTAGGTATTCTTAATTATTTGAATTTTATTTTAGTTATTATATTTTTATTATTTTTATTTTTGTTTAAATTAGTTTAACTTATTTTATTGTAACTTTAATTTTTTTAAATTATTATTAAATAAAAGTCGAAATGAAGTGTACAACTATGTTATATTAATATATGTATTATCCATATTGTTGTATTAAGTTTGTAATAAATTTTTGAGATATTTATTTCATTAAGTTGTGAACATACTATTAGTTTATTGAATAAGCGGTTCAACCATGGGTTTAATCGGTTGAACCAATTAAAACTTAAACCGGAAGTTTCACCAGTTTAATCTTCGGTTTTGTTTTTAAAACATTGCTCTTGCTATGTGCTAAAATTGTATTGTCACACCCTCATTTTCACCTTAGCCTTTCATATCCTACATTTGTCATATCACACATCGTTCTAGTGCATATCGAGCATGTGGATTTACAAGGTAAGGATTGGGTCGGTTCGTTGGTTTCCATTTCAAATAAGAGAAATTGCCTATCATGGGCTACATTGAAGAACGGTAATGTATAAGACTCCACGAGAGAGCCACAATACACCTAACTGCTAGAATGCGCACGATAGCATCGTCGACAAAAACATCCCATTTTCACCGTAGTCCCGTGAACTACGAATGCTATAATCAAAAACTGATTACAATCTTTTCACTAAGACAAACTTGTCTTAGTCTTCTCAAGAATACTGACCACAACTTGGTCTCTCAAGGATCTTTTACAAAGTAATAATAAAATGTGTTTAAGTGCTTCTTAGAAAAGCTAATTCACAACAGTGATTTTACACAAATGAAGATCAATGAATTTTCAGCAAAGAATATGTTTGTGATGGAATGATGTTATTCTCTCTTATTTGAATTTGTTGTTGAAGACATCTTTAAATACTTCACACCAATTTCTCAAATAGTGTGCACATACACAAAAAGAGAATGTTCAGAGATATCCTTTTTATTCTGAAATCCTGTGCCATACACAAAAGAGGAATAGTGTCGTTGGATGTAGACAATGAGTATTGCAACAGATCTTTCTTGATCAACATCTCTTTAATAGAACGAATATGAAAATATTTCCTGCATCAGATCCTCTGATGATGTTCCATTTTCTTCTTATCAGAGTAACTCTCTTCCAGAGTTCTGATGATGTTCCATTTTCTTCTTATCAGAGTAACTCTCTTCCAGAGTTCTGATGATGTTCCATTTTCTTCTTATCAGAGTAACTTATCAGAGTAACTCTCTTCCAGAGTTCTGCAGCTAGTGCTAGCGTGATTGTTTTAACAAACTGTTCATCCAGAGGAGTGCTTTAGATCAGAGCAGATCTTCGCTCTTACATGTTATCCAAATGTATCACTTTGTTACTAACGTTTCAGAGCCTTATGTGTTTTGATTCTCAGAGCCTCTGCAGTTGCAGTGTTGAGTTTAGTACGCTCAGAATTTTCTAAATCTTTGCTTTATACTTTACGCTACGCTCAGAGCCTTCTGTAGCTTCGCTTTTTACCAAACGCTCAGAGTCTTCTGTAGCTTTGCTTTTTACTAAACGCTCAGAGTCTTCTGCGTGTTGTAGCTTAACGTTCAGAGGAATATTTCGTTCAGAGGAATATTTAATATGTTATCTAAAACAAAAACACTTGAACAAAATTAGAGTATATATTTTCTCATACAAAATTTCATTATTGTTATCATCAAAACATTGAGATATATTAAGAACCAATCTATGTTCTAACAATCTCCCCCTTTTTGATGATGACAAAAACTATACGAAATTTTGTTCAAAGTTAAAATATATATCTCCCCCTGAGAATATGATTCTCCCCCTGAAATGAATACTGCTAGAAAATTTAAAACTTCCCTTACAACACTTGTATTCTTTCCAGAGTCAGAGCAAGCTTGTGGACTATCTCAGACCTTGTTCAGAATTAATTCTATAAATATTGTCAGATGAGTAACTTTAGCTCTGAAACACTGAATTCATGATTAGTTAGTTTTTAACATGTGTGAGTTTCCATTCAGTATTTGTTTATGTGAACAATTTAAAGTTTCCATTTTCTCCCCCTTTTTGTCATATCAAAAAGTGATTTTAGAAAATCATTTAAGATAAAAAAAAATTTCAGAGCAAGAAAAATAGAAAAATATAAGATAGAATCAGATGTAAGAAAAATCACAGAAAAGAAATAAAAAACACAAATGTATTTAGAGACTCAGAAAAGAAATAAAACAAGCAAATTCACAGATGAGCACAAACAAACAAACAATTAAGATAAACGAGAAGCTAAAAGCTTAAGAAGGTCCGTCATCTCAGAAGTTGAAGCTTCTTGTTTGGCCATCCATGTCTTGATTTCAGTAGTGGATTCTTCCTGTTTGACCATCCACTCCTAAACCTCTGCCGTAGTTTTCTCTTGCTTGATCATCCAAGATTTTATCTCAGTGTTAGTAGCCTCTTGCTGAGAAAATTTGTTTTGCACATCTTCATTTTCTTTCCTCAAATCTGTTGAATTCTGAACAACCAATGAAGAAGATGCATTCCCTAAATTCAGAGCAGAGGGCCGACCAGAGTCAGGAATCTCTTCATCAATAGGAACCTCTGAGGTAACTTCTTCAGCATGATGACCTTCACCAATCTGAGGTGCAGCAAATTTCTCAGATGAGGAACACACAACCTCTGCAGGTGTGTTTTCCAGACAAAGAATAGGAATTCTGCTGACACTGAGTTGATCAAGTTTTAGAGCTTTAGAAACTCTCTCTTGCGCATCTGCAGAGCAAGCATCCTGAAGATTCATAGTCAAGAAGTAAATCTCTTTCTGAAGGCAGTCCAGATCTCTTCAGAGTCACGAGGATTCGTGCTAGTGAGACACTTCTCCCTTACAGCAGAAAACCACATCTACATCTCCGTTTCAAAACTAGATAACAGATTACCAACACTGGGTCTGGGTTTTGGCTTATGGTAGGCCTCGAAGAAGGATTGCTTAAGGGCCTCAAAGAGTGAAGGTTTAACAGATGATGAAGGTTTATCTGGAGAATGAGAGGAAATGGGAGTGGGAGAAGAAAATTCAAGAGGATGGTTTAGGGAGTTATGTGGAGGGGATGTAGCATCTGATTGGTCAGAGGAGGAGTCAGAGGAGTCAGAGGAGTCAGATGAGTCAGATGGAATTGGGTGAATGGTTAGGAGAGGTGTGGCATGAAAGATTTCAGGTTCAGAGGGGTTGGTAACAACTGGTTGGTTTGTAGAGGGGACTTCAGCAGAATTGGTTTACTGAGGGATATTGAATGAGGGTGTGGATGGTATAGAGGTGGTGTATTCAGAGGTGGCTTCTTGTTTATGTTGAGAGGTGGTGTGATGGTTGGAAGTTTATGGTTGGGAGAGAGGAGAGGCAGCAAAGACATGAACATGCTCAGAGGATTGTGAATGGTGCTCAGAGGTGATGATAGGTTCGGAAGAGAGAGGGGGTTGAGATGTTGGTTCTTCTGTTACAGTTTCCAAAACAGGAGATAAAATAGCAGAGTGATTACCTGATTGCTTGGAACTCTTTGAGGACTTCTTAAAAGATCCTTCTTCAGAAGCCTTCCTCTTAGAACTCTTAGAATGTTTCTCTGAGGGACTTTCTTCAGAGACCTTGCTCTTCTTGCCTTTCTTCCTCATAATCAGCTCTCGAGCAGGTTGAGAAGCACGTAGCAGCAGATCAGGTGACATAGGAGTGCCATCTTCCATACAGGAAGCAATATAAGCGAGGAGAGCTTCCTTTGGCTCCTCTGCAGTGAAGAGTGGAAAATCTTCCACTAGTACCCTCCTTTTGCGCACAA